ATTAAAATTTTAATTCCAAACTATATTTTTAGTTCTGTAACAGCATCTACTTTATCTGAAAGTGTGACAGTAAAAACTATTTTTTAGCTTTTCCAATGTGTGAAATACCAGTCTTTCCTTTAAGTATGGATCCTGAAACCTCATTTTGTAATCCACATTTCTTTACTTCACTATTAAGGCATTAACGTCTCTGCCCATTAATTAAAATACATTTACATAACTTCCTCCTTAACTACCATGCAGTTGTACTTCATACGAGAGACAGAAGATCTTAAGACAATGATTGTTTTAATGTTTATAGGTTTTCTTCAGCACAGCTCTTCCAAGTCCCCAGTGAAACTGGAATTCACGATCCCTCATTGCAAAAAGCTTTTTAGCCCATACACACCTTCACACTGATTGGTGGGTGTCCTGACCGTTTGTTCACCCAGAATATGTCTTACTATGTGGTGCAATCAAACTGAAGACAACCGAAGACCCAAGGAATCAATCCTACACCAGTGCCAAACCTCACATTTCAACATCCTTATATATAACTTCACTTACCACTCAATACATTGTCTGTGTTATACTCAATACAATAAGACAGATGCTCTTGAACAGCAGTGCTTAGTATTTATTGCAGCCTATAACCTATTGATTGCCTCACTTACTGGATTCCAATATTGATTACTTTTCTAATGTAGTTTACACAAATGTAATCACAGTCTTCCCAGAGATGGGTTACAAATTGTAATGCTACAAAATACTCCTCTAACCTGTGATTCATGACTTGGGTTATGTTTCTACACCTGTGAAATATCCTAAAATCCAGTTCCTCCTTACGACAGCACTAGAAGTGGAGCTGCAGGAAATGAGAGGGGATGATCAAAATGGATTTAGCAAAGGAAGGTCTTGCATAACAAAGGTCTTAAGAGTTCTTTGAACAGGCAACAACAGTAAGGCCTACACACAGATCAAATGTTTAGATGGCTTTTAATAATTATAGGTAGAAGGCATTTGGTATTATGTGTGTGTTTGGATTGAGAATTGGTTTAAATTAAAGAGAGTGCAAATAAGGAGTGTATGCTCAGGTGATGAAGTGGAGTACAAAACTCTGTACGGGGACCACTGATCTTCCTAAAGAGTTGAGATTCTGCTATAGTTTGTAAATCAGTGAGGTTTGCAGATGATACCAAAATAGGATGAAACTTAGACCAAACAGATAATTTAGATCAAACTCAAGACTGGGCAAACACCTGTCAGTAGACAAATGCATCACGCTTTATGTAGACAATGAAAACGTCAACTAGAGATACAAAATGGGAAGCCCAGGTGGAAGAGGCTACATTGGGCACAACATTTCCATCTTCTGTGAGGAAAACAAAACAAAGATTATAAACAACATATTTCCGTGTAAACTTCAATTTTGTTTTAGAAATATTCATATCCAATGTCAATCCAATGTCAAATATTCCCCACCTCAAAAGTTAAGATGAAAGTTATGATACTTAATAGGTCCACTGGTCAGCTTCATGTACTACTGTACCTGTGTATTGACACATGGCACAGTTGTGAGGGACAAAACAGAGACAGGGCCATGCACAACATCTAGAACATGTCATGGTATTAGCAGAACTACTGTTTCAAGGCAGAGGCGTAAGCCAGATGTGCTCCTCTCAGAGCCCAAGATCCTGCAGTGACCACAGATGCTGGAGTCTGAGGAGCTTGAATCAGTAGGACTCCCAGGTCAGCGGTTCAGAGTGTTGGGTGGGAGGCTTTGAAAGAGATCAGCTTTCAAAAAAAAAAACTGATGAGAAAAAATGTTTCATTGTTCAAATTCCAAATCTGCGGCTTAAAATCTATTTTTATTGCAGTAGGTAAAGCACGCACATTATGCCACACTTTCCTATGATTTCAAGTGCACATCCTCATAAAATCTAAATACGGCCTCCTCATAAGGTAACATTTATATTACCCTCTGTATATTTATTAATATTAAAATACCAGCTCTTCAGCCCCAGATTAAATAGTAACTCCTTTCAGTGCCATGTAACCCATCTGTGGGCATGTAGTCAGGGCTTTTGTTTAAAGACTCATTTAAAAGACAACGCCTCCAGGTAAATGCTTAAAAGTTTTTCCGGGACTATGGTTTGGAGATCCAGGTTCATATAGAGGAACTACCTACTGCTAAGAACATGGAAAACCACCATCACTTACAGCACTAACCTTGCTTACCTTCTGGTGCTGCAAGGTGGTAAAACTGTTAAGTGTCATTTCCATCCTGATAGTTCAGGTTGATTATTTCTTTAAGGTGAAAAGCATATCTCCCAGTAAAGACCTTCCCCTTTTCTACACCGGTGCCTACATAGTCTGCTGACCAACATCACAGACCACTGTACTGTCATGACTGCACGTCCTATGGCTCCAGCTATCTGCTCAACACATGAATGCCAAACCTCTAACTCAGCATAATATCAAATGCATTGAAGAAGACAGGCTCTAGTAAGACAGCCAACCAAGAGTTATACAGTGTATTATCTCAATATTACATGTAGCTAATAAATAAGGAATATGTACCCAGCAGTAATTAAGTTACACTGGCCAATGGCACACCACTTACATTGAAAAAAGCAGAAAAAATGAAGGGATGCTTTTAGCTTATGCATTAATGAAAAGGCAAGAATTTAATTTTACTAAATGCAATTCAAAATGACAGCACAATGTCTCAATTCTACTAGCAGCAAGAAGATAAAAAAGTAAAAAAAACTCACAGTATGTAAGAAAAATCTGTAGCATGCAGAATAACACAAATTAAGGGGATTGTAGGCTTTGAACATAACCCACAACAAGCCGCAGTAAGATTTGGTGACACCTGATACAAGTTCATGTATGTCTGGTTTAACATTTCTTATGTGAGAGGTTTGTTGAGCAGCAATCCAGTCATTTAACCATAGCCACAGACAGGAGAGAAAAATTACTCATGGTCTGTGTTATAAACGACAAGTGGATTTGGTTTTCGATTCTCATTTAGGACACAAGTGCTCATTTCCGCAAAACATAAAGTCCAATTATGATACTGTGACGTGTTCATGTTCATTACACCAATAACTTCATTAAGTGAATGCCATGCATGACGTTTGCTGAGACAGAGTTTTCATTTTTTTCACAGTTGTTAAAAAGACACTATAATTCAAAAAATATGTGCTTTGTGCTTCATGGAAGCGTGGGACAGACAGCAACAGATCACAGGCAACATCTGTCAAGCTAAAGAAAAACTGTTCCTGATTACCAGAGAACATTTAGAGTGGAACATGGAAGACCATGGCAGAAGTTTCCAATATAGTGTTAGATCTAACACTGAAATGTAATAAAAAGAAAATTAAATTAAGGATAATTCATGCTAAATATGCTTTTATCAAAAGCAGCTTAACCTAGGGAGATTTGAAATATGCACTGATAAGTCCATTAGGAAACCAGACCAAAGACAGTCAGGACTGCATTGGAAACCGACTCTTTTCCTTAACTACTGGACTGTAATTCAAGGCATTAAGTATGAAATTGTTAATATAATCCGATGTAATTATTATTAATAAAGATGTAAAGGTTTCTACCAAGCACTACACACTTCCCTGAAGGTGCTGATTAAGGACATATTCTCAGTATGGTTTTTATTTGTTTAATACTGAATGTATGATTATTGTAGAACAGTGTTTGGTGTTCCCAGCTTTGTAAGCTGGAAGGTTGTGGGTTCCCAGGTGAGACACTACCATTGTACTGTTATGCAAGAAAATGTTATATTAGGCGTAATATGTAAACTTAACCCAACTATATGAAAGGGTACAAATATAAGTCATTTTGAATACAGATGTCAGACAAATAAATCAATAATAATGAAAATTTGCAGCTAGACATTCAAATGTACATTAAAATTGTAATTTAACTCTACATTAACCTAAAGAATCATGTCTCTGAGTTTAAATCTCTTGGGATTTGCTATGGAGTGAAAGTAATTGCTGTAATTATTTGATTATCATCAATGTTTCAAAGGTGCTAGTACAACAGTTAATCTGCAAATGGGTTTACCACTGGCAAAGCTATTGATTTTACTGGCTCTGCATTTAAAGGCTCAGCAGTCTTTTTGCCTCATCACAATAACTCAGAGCTCCAAAAGGAAATGACTTCTAACAAATGAAAACCAGACTGAAACAGAGTCTGAGGACAAATTATAGTACTGAAGCAGAATATGCTGTGAAATCCCAAATAATCTGTGAACTACAAACTCATTTATATTTTAAATGTATGTTTTCTTATGGAATAGCAAAAAAAAATGTTCGCTACATTTTTGAGGCTATAATTAAATGCGCAGTAAGTTTCAGTGATATGTCCATACACATTTTCAAGAGCAAACTTGGATATGGTAGGATTAGTATAGAATGTGTTCTTAAATTTGGAATTGCCAGTTAGTATTCTATTTTTCCATCCAAATTCTGAAAGTGCCTAGTTTCTGCTCCAGTCGTTGGAGAGCACAGGGAAAAGGGGAAGACTTTCAATCCAACTTGCCTACCTCTCAGAGCCATACATCACTGGACACACTGCGAGCTCCTTACAGAAATGATAACATTAATTGGAGAGGCAATGTATTTTTTAATGACAACTGCAAGCTTGCAGCAGTCTGTCAAGGCCCACTGTTGCACGGCAACCTGAGGACACCGCATTCTAGCAAAGATCAGTTTGGAGATCACTAATGCAGTGTTGGTTTGGTGAAAGATATACAGTAGGCCAGGCTTGAAATGGCACTGTATGGACTAAATGCTGGTTGATATAAAAGACAGGTCAGGGAATTGCTCAGTTATAAAACCAAAAAGCAAAATTTGACGCAAAAAACAACAGAATTAAACCCTAAGTTTTATTTTCTCCACAAAAAGTAGTACAAATGATGCTGGCTGCCAAAAGACTGGAACATACTGTAATCTCCATGCCGGTTAATTGTCCTTAAATCAAACTTCAGCTGTACGTACTTGGTTTTGCATTGAGAACCACTTTCTCTCCAGAGTGCTGTGGGGGGAATCGGACGTTCTCCCCCATATCTTCACTGGAGCCAAATTCCACTACGTCCACGTGGCTCAGAGGCATGCTCCACTTTAGCAGGAACTTCTGACTGGAGGGGACAGCCCCACTGCCTTCAGGGTGTGATCTACAAGAGCACAGGACAGTCTCAGAGCCATTTCCATACAACATATTCTGCCGAAGGAAATTTACCGCATGTCAACTCAGAGAAAAATAATATAAAAAAATAAAATGCCTAAGGTGACACTTAATAAAGCCACCTGAACATTTCAGACGTACTATACTACATCTTTGCTTATTAAAGAAGGCAGAGCTCTATTCTAGTGATACATTCTTTATCAATATGGCCCTTAGTCACAAAAAAAGGCATTAAAACACCACATGTGTGCACGAGTTCACACCTTCCAGACAAATGTTTCGGCTTACATTCCCTAGTGTCTAAAGAGAAAGAAAACATCTTGTTTGTAAAGGCTAGAAAATGGACCAGATACTTGTCAGGCCTAATATGTACTATATTAGGGGCGGTTCGGTGGCTCTGTAGCTAAGGATCTACACCTGTGGCTGGAAGGTTGCCGGTTCGTATCCCGTGGCCGGCAGAAGAATCCTACTTCGCTGGGCCTCCGAGCAAGGCCCTTAACACCAACTGCTCCAGGGGGACTGTATAAAGGGCTGACACTGCGCTCTGACCCCAAGCTCCTTTCCCTGTCTGTGTGTCTCGTGGAGAGCAAGTTGGGGTATGTGAAAAGATGAATTCTTAATGCAAGAAGTTGTATATAGCCAATAAAGTGATCTTATCTTATATGTGTCCGAAACACGTTTCTTGAATGCTTTTGAGATGGGGTGCTAAGTTACTGATTGATTCACTTTGTCTGGTTTACTTTTAGCCTTTAAAGCCAAAACTGTAGACATACTCATAAACGTAAAGGGACCTAAAAATGTGGTGCACTGGACCCTAGCTCTCTGTTGTGAAAATGGGGCGTTACCTCACGTTGGCAGTGGCGCACATTAACACGTCGTTCAAGAGGAACAGGCGGCGCTCCTTGGTTTTGATCACTTCTCCCTTCTCATTGTAAACAGTTTCCACCATGTCATCCGAGCGAATCAGATACCTGCTTCCACTGCTCAGGAGCTGCATTCACAAACCATAACGAAGAGGATCATGGACATTAATAGAAACCTTTAAGCCAGAGGTTAAATTATGAAGCAAAAACTGATACGCTGCGAACAGTGAAAAAAACATTTTGCTCATTTTCAACACCCAACCTCATAGCTGAAGCAGCCCACTGAAAAAGATGAAGAGCAGAAATCAGTGAGTGCAGTCTTCTTTTCCAAACATGCTAAAGCTGCCTAAAGTAAGGAATCAGGCCATACAATTATTTTTAAAAGGACATTTTACTGGTGAACATGCCTTGAGTGTGTTACTTGAGAACTGTGTACCACAGAACAAGAGGTACAAGATACAATACTGCACAGTAAGGTTTTGTACTTTGCTGTATGGATGTGGCTTACAAGCATTTGTTTTTAAAGTGTTCAATTATGTAGAGAATAAAGGGGTAGAACAATAATTCCAAAGAGTAAACATGTCAGTTTGATCAACACAACAGTGGTCCATAAACAGGATAAGAGAAGAAAAGCAGAATCATATTAGGTCTTGTGCAAAGCATTTAATTAAAACTGCATAACACAATGCTTAAAAAAATCACTCTTTTGCACCACAATTACATGTACCACAAAGCCTGCATTCACAAAAAAGCCACGATCTTAAAAACAAATAAGGCCTGCGTACCTTATTGAGATAGCGCTCGCTCATGGCTTTGGCTATTTGTTTAATTTCACAGCGCTGGTCCGCCTCTCTCTTCCGCTCATTCAGTTTCTCTGCCAGTGTTTCTAGTTCAGTCAGAGCCATCTGCAGAGGCAGCCTGTCAGGGTGGCCTTTAGGAGTGTTCTTTAGCATGTCCTACAGCCATGAACATAACAAGGACAGTTTTTATTTTTTTGTTATAGGAGACATTTTGCAAGTGAAAAGTCTACATAAGAAGCTTTTTGTGCTAAAATATAAAAAAAAACCATTAATGTACCCTTATCAAGTCAAAATATAAAATATCTAAAAGCTTTTCTGCTAGTAAAGTAAATTAAAGCTTTGCATGTGTGTGCAGGGCTCCATCTGTTGGTCAAAGCACATCAATTATATTCCTTAGACGTCTCATTGTAACACACAAGATGAAAAAATAAGTAAAGAACTGAATTAGTTAATTGCTCTATTAACAGAAAAGCCTTTTTAAAAAATGCCATAAATTAGAGATATATTTAAAGTTGCAGTTTTCACATTTTGTTGCTTTAAAACGTGCAATCATGACACTAAATTGAAGAAGAAATTCATATTTGTTGTATACATAACCTACTCCACACATTAAAAAAAACAAAACAAAAAAGTGATATGAAAGAAAAAAAACAAGTCACAATTATTCAAATAAGTATGTAAACCCTTTGCCGTGGAAAACAATCTGAAAAAAAATCACACCAACCTGGCGTGCAAAGATTGTAGACGTGTTCATAGCGACTAACCCAAACATACTATACTACAAGGGTACTTGTAGCTCATAACTGTTGCCTTTGGAGCTTTGTCAGACATTGAGGTCACAGGTCTGAATACGTATGTGTACGCATCATTTTTGTACTTTTGTAATTTCACAAAATAGGCTGCAATAGAAAATATCTGAATTTTCTTGCAAGCTCCTGGAACCACTGGGTAATAATTCCACATGATGTTTTGAAGAGGACCACAAGGAAAAGAAATAATAACTTCCACAAAAAGTCTGTTCAGTACTTGGAATTCCTGCAGTGCCACTCTTGTGGGTTGCACGAAAGCTACTGTACATTACAATTATGCAAGTTTCAAAATATAGCATGTTAAGCTGGAAAACTGCATTTTCAGACATTTGTTTTTTAATGACTGAGTACTTTTTGAAAAGTGAATTTTAACTGCAACTGGGCAAAAATTTTAATCCGACATTTCATATTTGTGACTAACCCTCTTTTAAGAAAAGCCAGACTGCAGAGATAATGTACTGCAGTGTCTCGGTCTTTTCCAGGGTTACTAACTGATCAGAATTAGCTATTTACTGCCAGTCACTCCTGACAGCAACTCTGGATTTCTTGTCTGTCATGTACACTACAATTAGAGAGCCCTAAAACTCAAATGACCCCAAAATGCCATTGTAAGAGACAAAAAGCAGATAGCTGAAGAGTCTGTTGATTCTGATTGACCCAGGATGGACTTATTTCTGTCAGACCATGACAATCCCCTAAGTATGAGACAACGGCCTTTTAAATCAGTTGTTTCACGAGAATGATACAGCACACTGAAATTCTGACTAAAAAAGTAAAATGCTATCTGTTGTCTTAAAATCTAAAACAAAAACTAGTTGTAAAAACACAAAATAAGATCACAGTGGGTGTCTATCATTAGAAAACATTTAAGCTAAACTTAAATGCTGATATTCTTTAACTATACAGAAGGACTGCATGAAATGATATATGGTGTGCTCAGATACTAAATGTCTGTGGAAATATTGTTTGACATTTTCAAAGTTTCCTATTACAATGGTTATTCTAGGATACTGAAAATGGACGTTTGTTTGTTATATGAACATTGCACAGCATCATCAGTTTAACAGTCAATAAGGGTCGTGTTTCGAAATTATCCAAACAATTCATTTTCTCGCAATTTCAAATGACTGTTTTTTTTTACCTGCAGCAGCAGAATAAACTGTGGGAAACGCTGAATCGGCTTCATCATCAGCCCATACAAAGTTACGCGATCACTGCTGCTCTCCTGGCAGTGCTAAGGAACATGACAAGGGTTTGAATAACAGCCAAGGAAAAGGTGTGCCTTTATCAAACCAGGTGGTCAAACATCATGAAACACTGTGAAAGTGTATAATTATACTTACAGCAGGCAATTTTCAAAAGCTCGACATACAAAAGTCTCAGCTGTACACTATACACACCAAAGTCCATTGAACATATTCTTAAGCACTGCAGTCTAAAGAATACATATGACTTCTAAAATGATGGCCATTGCCTTAAAACTCCAAGTCATAAATTCATCTAAATAATTAATTTACTCTGCTGTTGAATAGTGTTAATAATTAAATCAGTCTGTTGTAAAGAAAACCAAAGAAGGCCCAAATGCCTTATTCAACTTACTTTGAGAAATTCAAGGAAAGCAGGCTTTGACGCACACATTTTCTTCACAACTCCCATGGCTGTGCTGAAATGATTCACATACTCGCTGTATGCATCCAATACCATAGATTTGGAAAACTTAGGAAAATAGAACAAGTGACGAGTGAGCAATGAGAATGTTATGACAATGTCATGACAACTGGAAACACAGTCGAAAAACATTGATGAGGGAAGTATAAGATAAGATCACTTTATTGGCCGAATTCAATTTCTTGTATTAGGAATTTTTCTTTTTGCATACCCCAGCTTGCTCTCCATGAGACACACAGACAAGGAGAGAAGCCTGGGGTCAGAGCACAGGGTCAGCCATTTACAAGGCACCCCTGGAGCAGCTGGGGTTAAGGGCCTTGCTCAGGGGCCCAATGGAGTAGGATTCCTCTGCCGGCCGCGGGATACGAACCTGCAAGTATCTCCCCACTTGTGAGAAAAATCAACAATTTGTATGAACACTTTCAAACCACACCACACTGAGAGCAAAGACGGCAACGCTACACACTCTGCAGAGGCACAGGAACAGGAACATGCAAAGGTTAATTCCACGTTGAAAGGTAAAAAGAAAGAAGAAAAAAAAGACCTGAAAAAATCCCACACCTGAAACATGACACTTTTGTCTATTTATATTCTGCCGTGGAACTAACCTCTGCGTACATGTCAATTTGTTAGTACCAGTAATGAACATCTCCTCTGTGTGCACTAACCTTCTTTCTTAGCAAGACATCCTTGTCCCAAGCATATAACAAAAAATATCAGCAGTGAGAAAACAGAATACAGATGCATAAACATAAATTAAGTCCCTGGACAGAGATTTCCAGAGTTTCAGTTCTGGAACAAGTAAGCTTTACTGGCATAGAACCTGTTGCTGGACTGTAAAGACTTTCAAAGTTGAGAACGTGATCAACAGCTACACAGCTGTCTTCAAATCTTAGCATTATTAATGGCACAGAGTGAGAAACTCTTAGAGAGTCTTAGTGAGCAGTCATGCCTCTTTAAGCTGATCAAGACTTTGCTTTACTGTTTATTCTTTAATCACTCTGGATTATTTTTGGAACTTACTGAGGCCACAAATACATCTCCAATCATCTCAGACGTGTCCCACTCAGCCACACGGCTGGCTAAAGCAATCTGGAACAAAGAATGACACTGAAGAATCTCTCTTATCCGGTAGAAAATCATCTTCAGCTTTCTGTCGCTTATGAGTTTTGGTTCCATTTCTGACAGAGGGTTTTCATATTGCTGATGGGGAAACAAAAAACAAAGCTTATGTTTTTCACTGAAACACAAATGTACAGTAGGTGATACACCAACAAATGGATCACTCATTCAAAATAAGTGTTTTCCATGCACATTAAATAAGTATGGCACCTGCAATTTTTTAAAGGAAAGCAGGACATTGTGCAGTGTTTAAGTAAATAACATGATGAAATTATATGACAACTTCAGATAATACTTCTCTTCCAATACTTATAAAATATTTATGTAAGAAAACAAGAAAGCAACAGCTCACTATACCTCTAAAATGCGCTTCAAAGCATCCAAGTAGTTCTTCTCACTTTCCAATATAGATTCTAGTATGTACCTTCTAATAACCTGTTGAAAACAATAAAAAAATGACTCCTTTTAGATATATTTCCAAACAACTTCTATTTTAGAATTTTTTCAAGGCCAGTATATTTTTTCTGAGGTGCTACAGGGATGCTACTCCTATTTCAGGTCAGGGACTGGAAAGCTTGTCAGGACTGTTGAAAAACTGTACAGAGCAAAATACAGGCAAACACTAGAGGAGAGCCTGCTTCAGGCTTCTAAAAATGAAAAATGGGGCAAAAAATTGTCTTTCAAAAGAACAGTGATCCAAAGAACAAGACCAGAGCCAATGTTGAGTGGCTTAAGAATCTTTGTTAAGAAAATGAATGTTTGTGAGTTGCACAGTGAAAGTCCTAACTTTCCTGACAATCATACTGAGAATCTGTAAAAAGACTTGAAAACTGTTGTCCAACAACAATCTCCTGGCTACCTGGAAGAGCTTGAGCAAATCAGATAAAAAGAATGGGGAAAAAAATACATCAAACTGGTGTGCAAAGCTGGTGAAGACTTACTGAAGACTTGTGACTATGATTGCTGCCAAAGGCACATCTGCTTAATATTGAGTTCATAGATATGAATACTTATGAAAACAACATATTTCATTTTTTTCTCTATTGGCACTATTGGTTTCTCCAGCATTTACTGTAATTAATGTTATCCTTTGGTTGATGTATTGAGGTTTTTAATTAAATTGTTATTTAAAAAAAAATGTGTACGAGTCAAATTGTAATTTTGCAAAATGGGAAACAACTGGAAGGGTCAGAATGCTTTTGAACTCACTCTATGACGTAAATTCATTACCCACCTGTTGTTGTGTGAGTCCCTCTGGCATTGGATTCATCACAGGCTCCGCATTGAGACACTCCACTTCAATAAACATACTGGTCTCCTCTTCAAGATCCCCAAACCTTCGATCTGAAAGATTTATTAGGGGGACCAAGCTCAACACCAGGAATAAATTAACTTAACAGATTGTGGCCAGGTGTAAATTCACAAAGTTGTACATCAGTGAAAAACACCACCTTACACTATTTAACTACTTCTTATTGACATTCAGTGCTCAAATGACGTGAACTGGTTTCATGCTGGTTTCTGGTCCAAGAGACACAAGAAAAAAAACAAGCTTTAAACTTAAACTTAAAAGTTTAAGTATTTCTAGACCTAAGAGAAGAAAGAAAATAAGGAAAGGCTCAAATATGTTTGTGCAAACAAAATTATGTTTTAATATGAATTAGTGAAAACTATCATAGAAATCCCCTGGTTTTAATGTTTTTCTTAGTTCAATAATATAAGTTAGGCACTAAAAATATAAGCACTATATATACTATATAAGTACGTACACACACAGACAACCCACTGTTAAGCTACACTGATTATTCTAGGGCTGGGTTCTGAAAACGCAATTCCACAAAATATTGTTCCTATGCACAGCACAGATCCGTGGCTTGTCTACTTGTGAAATAAAAGAAATATGAGAGAGCAGCCCAGAAAGGTTTGGGAAGCCGTCTCTTTTTTACCTTGATAAAAAGACTTGTTTTTTATGAATGAGCGCCCCTTCTTCACTGCTGCTTTGGTTTTCTCTAGTCCATCTTTGGTACCTTCTTTTGCTGCCTTCATCAACTTCTGCACCTTTAATAACATTTGACGACTATAAGCTTGGTAAAAATATGACCTGACTCAGTACCTGAGTGTAAGGATACTTTACTGCACATGCCTTGTGACAACAATATGGAGGACAAATCCGATACAACAAATCGACTCTCGGTGCTTTCCTAAAACCTTTGCTATTGCTTTTCAAATGAAAACAAAAGACATCTCCATTAAACGTTAAAAACTCAAGCATTTTGAGTTCTTTAAAAAAACATCGTGTTGAAACACAAGCTGAACAAGGGGACCGGTATGAGCATGACCCTAGTATTTTTTTTTTAAAAAAGCATACCACACTTTTTTACAGATCCATGCAGAATCTGTAAAGTGTGAGTCACTGTGAGATGAAGTGCAAATCTTCCAGCAAGTCTAAGCAGAAAACGCTCTTTGATGGGATTTGAATTCCATGCACTTGGCACCCAAAAATACAGCAAGATATAACAAAATGCATCTCCTGACACATCTTCTGACAAACTTTGATTAAATATTGCATGCAGAATATTTAACATTGCCCAAAGGAGAAACAGTTGCTGTATTTTGTATGATAGCTAAAGAAACTAAAAAAGGAAGATCATACTGATGCTTCATGGAAATTCAGAATACCGATCAGGCTGTTTCAAAAAATCAGCAATGAAAGGAGTCTGACAAAAAACAGATTAATAAGAGTGCAACGCTTTCAATACACGGAAGCTGGTAGGTTAATGAATGGGGAGTAGGGACTGTTTTATACTAATCACTGTATAAAAGTAATGAACATCCCTGATTCTGAACAACCTTTATTTTTAAGAGTCTGTGATACAAACATACAGTACATAATGATATCTAGTAGCATGTCCTTTGGTATTATATAATACGTGAACTACAGTATAAGGTATATAAGGCATTGGAACAAGCAGGCTCTACTGTACATCACAGATTGACACAGAGGTTTAAATGGGCAGCTGCATCAGAGTGCATTTGATGCAAAAGAATATGTAATGGGAAAAACAGAAAGGAAAAGCACACGTTTTTAGCTACAGAGCCTCCTTCCCCACCAGCTGAAATGTTGTGTTTCTCCTATTTTTCAACACGGAATTAACCTTTACTTGTTGCCGATACAGATTCTGTCCAGTAGATCTTGAGTCTGGCCTTTGGAGGGGCCCATTCATGTGCTCCTGGACAAGTGCAGTGGCGATCATGTCGGGACTCAGTGGCATCAGAAGCTGCTGCCCATTTCACCTCCTTCGGAGCATGTGGTTTAATGATTTAAGTCCTTAAGCTTTGCTGATACACCAATGTTTGTAAATAAACCTGACTTCCGACAACCTCTATTCTACCCAGTGGGAGTCCGCGTTTACCGTTCAATTTACCTTCCGTTCGTGCTTCTGCTTAATCTGCTGAAGCTCTACTGTCCCCACTGTGTTTGCCATTAGATCTTTCATCTTTTTCTCATAGTGTTCTTTCAAGCGAGTCAGATCTTGAGAAAGCTGAATGAAAGTAAGGGAAGCGTTAGCACTTGCGCTTTGAAGATGCGAAGCCAAAGAAGCACCCTCTTCTCCCTTGCACCCCCCCCACCTTCCCGCCTCCCCGCCCCTCAGAACAACCCTTCAAAGAAGAACAGATTTCTTTGAAGAAGCCATCAGAAGGATAAACCCAGGGCTTTCCTGGCAGAATACCTATAATGCTCAATGGGGAAATTCAGCACAGATTTTTAACCCCATTCCTGGCAGTCAGAATGTCCAGGGTAAGTGAGATGTGTTTCACTGCAGACAAGGACTACAATAACAACAACTTGTAAACCCTGAAGTACAACAGACACCAGGTTAATGTATTTATTACAAGTGTTAAAAAAACAGCTCTTCCCTTTCACAATATAAGAATGTCTTAGAACACTGTTTCCTGTTCTGGTCCTGAGCCTTCTGGCCTTTGTTCATACCGAGGTCTTGGTTAATTAAGCTTGCTGAATCCATAATTGACCCAATATCCTAATTTCTATTGTTTTGCTGCATTCGGGTCTTTGATTCAGAAATAATCTCCTTTGTTTGTATTATTTCTGAGCATTATTATAATGCTGTCGAGACCCACTGTTTTAATTCCACCGTGCAACAGCAAACCCACATGAGGGGAATTCTGAAACAGCTTCTGGCACAAGGTTATTTCTGATTCCTTACCTTTTCTCAATATCATTCCAAGATGGGAAACTAATTTTAAAAAAGTATATTGTTCAATTAAATGCATTTAGTGTAAAATGAATTGAAGGCTTAATTTACAAAGATAGTCTGGTGATGCGTTCTTGGAAAGGGCACCATATAGCAAATCAATGTATGACTCATCAATAGTCTACACACTTGTTTATAAAGTATTTTTGTACTGTATATCCTCTATATTTTTTTCCTTTAAAACAGTTACCATGTACAAAAGTAAAGAAAATAGGAAATGCAGTAATGTAATATAAGACTAAAAAACAATGTTTTTTAAGCAGACTGTTTTTCAAACTCCGCTGTACAGTTTTGGACACTAGTGATATGAGTTTCTGGAGCTTGGCAATTGCTTGTCTCATCTTTTATTGCTTTTATTTTAATACTCTCTTTGTGAAAGTTAAGTACAGTATTAAAAAGACTTACACTATTAAAAAAAACTTTCTTAAATCTCATCCAATGCACTGTACATTGCATATTTGTGGCATTCTATTGTATAGTAATATACAAAGAGTATTAAATAAAGTTAAAACACTATGTTTTTAAATGTAACAAAATAGAACTAGGAATTTATGTCATCTGCACCAAATGGTGCCTTGTGACTTGATAGTCAGAGCAATGTATTTGCAAAGCTTTGGGTAATGGGAATCTTGGTTATAATCTACGATTATAACAGCAGCATATTTGTGAATCAACAGATAGAGAATCAACTTATACCTGTATTTGTTGTCACTCTCAAGGATGGCTTTTTGTTGTAACATCAAGAAACATGTAATATAATTTATATCTCAGATAACATTATGTTTTAGACCTGAAGCAATACAGTAATAATATCAGACGCCCACACAGCATTCTGAGTGCAATCTCTTTTACTTTAACACTAGCATGTTGTGGAAAACTGATTTGTTCCTTTGACTGAACTTTATGGTGCTGAGCACAGAATTTAAACAATTTACTGCTTTGGACTTACCACCTAACTGAGGCCTTGTGAAAATATCTCACGAATCTGAACAACTATCTAACTTGTATAATTCGGTTTGAAACTTCCAGGTGCCAGTCAAGCCACTTCCGTGGAAGTCATTAGCCCATTTACTGCTGGTCAGGTTTAAAAAAGTGCCTTGGTTCACAGCATTCTGAAAAAGGCTGGGGAAACATAGTAATTACGCAAAAAGGCTCAAATTTAATGGCACAAATATTATATGAAAGGTGTTTTTTTTTCTTTCACAAGAGGATAGAAGAGAAAATAAAAGAAGCACATCAAATGTGCAGATTGTGTAAAATGTTTAAAAATGATCTTAATATAATGAGGTTAGGTTTGCAATGCCAACATACATAGCTGTTACACTTGTATCAGCATCACATACCTTACATAAGGACAATGAGTAACTCAATATGTAGTGATGAATAATGTATGCCAAACTTCATTTCTCAATAATACCTCTTCTATGTTTCTTTTATCCATTATCTTATCCTCTTGCTCAATGTTTCTTACCCTTCTTTTGTACGTTACACAGAAAAAAAACTATGTCTGAAAGCATTAATTTGTCATGAATTCCTTGTCCAAGAAATCCAAAAGAAAAACATTTTCCTGAATATGTATTTTTTCCTTGCAGCACGTATATCCGATTTAAAACAGAAAAAGAAAATGTACTTTTTTAAATTGTTTTTAAAGGCACTAAATTCAAGGCTTATTATGGCCTACTTATGTCTTTTTTAATTCTTTAAACTATTAGATTTGGTGGACAACATCTTGATGGTCCAGCCACTGACTGCTGGATTGAAGGCTGGAGTTGAAAACCAAACGGAAGTTACACACGTGCGTTTTGCTCCTGGGGGATTTTCCTCTGAGGAAGGAGTCCGGAAGGCCATTCTCCGTTCTGCCCTCGGTGTCGCTCTGCTCATCGTAACTCTCGAATTCGCTGGAGCTCCAGCCGTTGTCCAGAGAACTGCTCCCTCCCTCCTCTCCCCGTTCCACGTCATCGTAGATCATTTCATCCGGGTCTGGCGAAACGTGCGGAGAGGCAAGATCAGATTTCGTTAAAAATCCACATGCGCGAGGAAACAAGCGCTTCAATACAAAAGGCGGTTCAAAAACAGAACAAATGAAAATATTTAGGAAGGCAGAACCTGTCAGGGACACAGGTATCTCATCTGTCATAGAAGCAGACATACTTTACCTGTGGTGGAGTCTGAGTTTTCCCTGGGCACATCATCATAAATCACTTCATCGGGATCTAGATATAAAATGCGATTCTGAAAACCTGAAATTGACAGTACTGGCGGATAACAGCCTCTGTTGTAAATGAAAAAAGAATGTCACGCCACAATGCAGTAAAAATGAAAGAGGAAGTGATTGCAAAATAAAATCTAATTAAGTGGAAAGTAACCCTACTTACTGGAACTTTTACCAGAAATGTATGAGAGGATGAACTGAAAAAAACGTGCATCAATAACAGCATTTTCATGAAATAAGCAAAAACTTACAACTTACACATGAACTTACAACCTAGAGAAGAAAGCAATGACACCAAAGCATAACTGTTACATTTAACATATTTCGGTATGAGGAAAGTGCATAGCCGTGCTTTAAATATTTGAATTATTTATACATAAATATTCAAGAAATGATCCAACAGAAGTGTGAAACATAATAAGAGCTACAAAGAAGAACTTAGGTATAATTAGGAAAACTTACTTTCCATCCAAGCAGTGTTTGCTGGGTCAGCAACCCATCTTGATAAAGCATCTTCTTCCTTAATGACTGGGTGATCTTCACTAAAAACACTTTAGATTTTAAATTGTAACATGTTAATAAAAAAAACATACTAAAAATTATTAAATCATCTACATAACTGTACATTCTGTTGTGAAAAATATGATAGTTTTACAAACAAATTATTTCTCCAATCCAGAATGGGAGAAAATTTGGACAAATGCTTAATTTCCTCAAAAGTTCAAAAACAGCACACAGTTTACGATCATTAACGCAAAAGTAAACCACAAAAGACATATTTACACCAAATGTCTTCTTCGAAATGGTAATAGTTCTGATTGCTAACAGCACTTTTACTTACAGAGTTAGCACAACAGAGACACCTATTGTTACAGTACCCCAAAAATATTTGGGTATTATAATAAATATTTTATCCAAAGATAAATATGGAAATTTCATTTTACCATGAGTTTCTTGAATCAGAACCAGTCTTTATATAAATATACAACAGGGTTTATAGCAATAAATTCCATTATTGAAACAAAATGATGTATGAATTTAACAAAGAATGGGTAATTAAGCTAGTTTCATTTGCTTCATTAAGAGAATAATTAGAATCAGGTGTTTACATTAGGCAGATCTTAGGGACCAAGCTTGAAAAACCCCACCCTACTGTTTATAAAGAAAAGAAACACTAGTCTTTATCAGAGTTTGATGTAAAACTTGAGTCTGGTTTTTATCATACAGTTGTTTGGAATCAAATCATGCCAGGATCAAAGGAAACATCTGAGGACCTCAGAAAAAGAGTTATTAATGCTCATCTGTCCAGAAAGGGATACAAAACCATTTCTTAGGATTTGGGGCTCCCCCAATCCACTGTCAAGACGGTCTACCACAGTCATTTTACCCAGCAGTGGCTACCCTACCTATATCTCTCCAAGAACAAACAGGGAAACCATTAAGGAAGTTCTAAAGAACCCCAGAGTAACATCCAAGGAACTGCAGGCCTCTCTCACTTGGCTAATGTGACAGTTCAAGACTCAACTTCTTGAAAATGACTAAACAAGAACTAAATATGGTGTTCATGGAAGGACTGCATGGAGAAAATCACTGCTCTCCAACAAGAACACTCCTGCCCATCTGATGTTTGCCTTTTGGAACAATGTTTCCTGGACCGATGAGTCAAAAGTAGGACTCTTTGGCAAAAATCAAATACTGTCTTTGAACAGAATAACCTGGATCTCTTGCCATCATTGATACAACATGAATTCTGATTTGTATCAGAAGACTCTAGAGCTGGATGTCAGGTCATCGATTTGTGACCTCAAGTTACACTGAAAGTGGGTCCTGCAGAAAGACTGTGATACTAAACATACAGATGTACAAAAGAATGTACAAAAGTGATGTGAAAGACTGATCAATGGTTACAAAAAATGTTAAGTTATTGCTGCTCAAGTGGCTGCCACCAGTTATTGTATCTAAAGGTGATACATGGATATTGAATCTTTGCATATTTTGAGTTTGTACACATTTTTAAAGAGTATCATGTTTTGTGTCATTTTTTTCATCAGGTTGACTTTATCTATTATTAGATCTAACAACAAATATGTGAAATCCTAATCCTACAAATATGTGAAATCCTAAAAGTTCACTAACTTTTTCTTGGCACTATACAATGAGAACTTAACTGCAGTAACCAATATGACATACTGTACCTGTCTGCTGACAGAGTGTTGCTGGTTCCAAGGACAGTTACTGGAGAAAGAAGGAAAAACAGTGCAGCTCACAATACTGGATCAATACAAAAATCAATCAACTGTTTAGCATCGAGACAAAGTAGAAAAGCCATAAATAGAAATGCATTTTTTTAAGCCAAACACAGCAAGAAAAAAAATCAACAAATTCACAGGGGACAGAACTGTCAAAACATGCTTGGTGTAAAGTATCCACAAGAGGGAGTTGTGATACTCTTAGTCACAACTGTTTTCCTTTGTGCTGCAAAAGTGTGGTCCATTTCTCAGCCTCAGTATTAAATACACCATGAAAGCTGCTGATAATAGTGTACATACATAGGTTATGTTATGAGCTAGTTGGGAACGCTGTTTCATTTTGCATCAATTAGCCTGTTTCAATAATGAGCTACCACATAAATAGAGCAAAACATGACTAAAGTATTTTAAAGCGTATGGTTTGCAAAATAACTCATGCTAAGTCAAACAATCCAAAAACATCAACTAAAAAAAAGCATCTATAATTTTCGTAATGTATACACATTTGTCAAATGTGTCTTTATCAGTGCCATGGTTGGAATTTTTCAGGCCCTACTGTCATGTGCTTCGCCAAGCCAGATCTAAATGCATTCACTTGGCCACCCCTTTCCTGTCAGTCAGCACCCTGTCACGGTTCCCAGGAGAACTCAAGCCAAACACACTGTTGATTTCCTCTCATGGCCCTGACAGCTCAACTCACTCGCTTCACTTAACAAGTGAGCACAGAACATTTTTTACCACCCTTGAAGTTACATATCTGAAGTCTGTCAAATGTATTTTACCAGCAAGCAGCTGTCCTGCCTTTTCTGAGTTTATTGATCTTAATTTACTTGATCTTGTGAAAGTAATTCCATATTATGTGGAAGGGCACTTAAAACTGAGAAGAGGAGGCACTTCCTTACCCAAAGGGCTGTGGGTTGTGGAACTAGCTAGTCCCGCCTTGTTGTTGAAACCAATAACCTGATTTCTTTCCAGTAACAGCTGAAAGAGATCCTTGGATCAGCTAGCTACTAACTACCAAACAGGCTAAATGGAATTAATCTTGGCAGCACCATGGCTCGTCTTCTAGGGTGTCTGTCTATGGTTGGTGAGAGTCCAGGTTTGAATCCTTGTCTCTCCAGACTATAGAGCATTTGGTGTTGGTGGGGCCAGTAGGGGGTACTTATACCCCAGTATAGTGGTGGGAACACTATACTGTAAAAAGGTGCCATCCGTCAGATGAGGCGTACAGAGAAACTGAGGTTCTGACTCTCTGTGGTCATTAAAAATCCCAGCGCATTTATCGAAAAGAGTAGGGGTGTAACCCCGGTGTCCTGGCCAAATTTGCTCCTGGCCTTTACCAATCATGTCCTCCTAGAAATCCCCATCTATGAATTGGCTTTATCACTCTGCTCTCCTCCCCACTGATAGCTGATGTGTGGTGAGCGTTCTGGCGCACTATGGCTGCCGTCGCATCATCCAGGTGGATGCTGCGTGGTGGTGGAGGGGAGTCCCCATTACCTGTTAAGCACTTTGAGTGGACTGCCCAGAAAAGCGCTATATAAATGTAAGGAATTGTATAATTATTATTCATTTTGTGGAATTTCATTATTTCAGCTGATAGTTTCTGCCTTTGTTCCTTAATATATTGCTTATTTGTAACGTTTTCACATGGAGAGGGGTGTAGTAAGCTGGCAAAGGATATAGTTCTGTCTACAGAATGATACAAACACACATTAAATACAGAACATTCTTTATAATTGATGGCATTCAACCTCAAACATTCAATTCATGGTCATCTTAGCCATCTAGCGTCTCACCATAATTGCACTGTGATTTTCACGACACTAACCCAGTCGTGGAACTCTTCACTAAAATTACAGCAGGAAAAGCACATCTCAGCAAAACCAGAGGTTTGGAGGGGACTAAATATAGTCTCCACTTCCTTTTAGTAAATCTTTTCTAAAAAAGGTCCACAGGAAAGAAACAGCAAATACAGCACCCGAGCCAGAGCGCAATCACCAGTCCGCCACAGTAAAGATAAAGATGAAGGCACACTTCACGAGCAATTCTGTGGTCCCGAAAATAGGGATTTACCTTCCTCATCAACGGAAAGATGGCGAATGATGACCGGAGTGGAGTAAGCTGGCTTGATCAGAGGAACATTTGAGGGCACAGCATATCCACAGGGCACAGGCACCGCATAACCACTAGGAACTCGTGGGCTCCCAGAGTCCTCTGGGCCACCTGCCTCTGTGTCTGGAGAGCAAGGCTGTTGCTGGAGGGGGCTGATGTCGATGACAGAGTAGGGGTTTGCCCTCCCAGACCTAGAGATGGTCCTGGGGGCCGCAGAAGGAGGCATACGTTCTTCACTGGAACCATCTTGCTCTGGGATCAAAAACCAAAACAGGACATTTGTCTCAATTAACACAAAAGTGGATCAGCACGTAACCTCACCCTCAACCTTCCTTTTTAAAGGGGAACTGCAGTCCCCATATCTCAGTTGACGCAGCTCGCATTCAAAGCGAAGCGGCCCCTTCCTGTTCACTAGTCTCTGTAATGAATAATGGAATCAGATGGAAGAGTATATAAATACAGGTTGTGCATCAGACAATTCACCGCAGAAATGTTCCAATGTGATCTGCAGAGTTAACAAGTAAGTATTTGTCTGCAAAACCATCACAAAAACAAAAGCAATATTTCTCTTGGATTAAAAGAGGCTGCTTGTTTACAATGTCATTGGGCCACAACACGTCACCAGAAGTTTTGTTGCCTCATTCTGAATCGCAGAACATGGCACTGCCCATACCTGGAAATTTTGTCTATTTTGTGATGTATTTTGGAGGTTTTACAAGTTACTGTGCTCATTTTAACTTTGGTTTGAAATGCACTCATCAATGCTGATTCTTTCTAACACTGAAACATAAAAATAGCATTATAAGTTCCCCTTTAAGACCAAATGTTGTTGTAGTTGTTGTTTTTTTAAATGACTTAATTGTGATCTGGGCAACCCCAGTTACATTCATCAGACAACTTGACATGAGGTCCTGGCAGCAAGAAAAGTCATGAACCCTGCACAACGCAAAGTTAATGTATCTCAAGACTTCAAAAAGACTCTGGTCAAGATTTGGTGTTTTAGTTGAGAGGACATACAGGGTAACAGTCTGGCTACTAACAGGGGTACAAACAAAACAAACAAATCAAGATCAAATCAGACAAATCAATTAGACCTCAGAAGGGGAAATGGCAAAAAGATTCCATGCAAGCCAGAAAGCACTGTGTTGTGTCAAGACCCAGGTGATACTACTTTATATACCCAAATACAGTGTCTATGTAATGTACAGTACATGATGACTTAAGAACACAAAAGTGCATGCGTAATGAAGGATACAGAAACTGAAAAATATTTTTAGATTCACTGATATTATGGCAGGCACTAAAATTTAAGGGTACTTAAGGAAAAAAATCACTTTAAGCACTAGAATTACAGTACTAGATTAGCACCAGGTGAAGTTTGTTTTTCCTTAAAAACTGTAAAATTAGATGTGGCAACATGGGAAGCCACCTTGCAAATGTGGGTCTTTCTTTGGATGAGAGACTTCTGGCACATTACCTCCAGGGCTGCTGTGTCTTCTACCAAGTGGTTGCCCTTCTGAAGGACCATGTTGAAAGGCCTGGGGATTTTGAGCATCAAACTGGTTCTCGTAATCAGGCACAGGGGGAATAGGAGGCTGTCTGTCAGCTTCAGGAACTTCGTCCCCACTGTCGTCAAACGCAAACTGCTCTCCTTCCTCTTCGTCGGCATATGGCAAGTCTTCCTCCAGCACTACAGAGAGAGGAAGACGTTTTTTCCATGCTGTTTGATATCCTGATATACCTTCTCAATAAAAGCTTCTGCTCTGTCGTCTGGCCACTCGAACTACTAATACTGAGTTTCCTCGACCAGTCAGTCAACTGGTCACTCAGTGCATCCTGGCCTTGAATAAAGTAATCTCTCCAACACATAAAGAGATCCACAAAGGTCAAATCATCTGGCTTAATCAAGTGGGATGGGAACATTTCATCTAAAAAACATAACATTTCTGTACAACACACTGGAAGACAAAAAATAATCAAATACATCTCTCAAATTTATCAACTCCGTTATATATGGCTTTCCAATAAAATTAGACACGTATTCATTGGCATGAAGGACATTACGTAAACATTTTTTAAAAGGGCTGGTCTGATTTGTGTAGAACATTGCACCACACAGAAAGACATTCCAGATGAAAAATCTTTCAAGGCACTTATTTCTAAATGCTATTCTAATTCTATCTAAATAAAAAGGAATGCCTTTCTTCAAAGCTGGCAAATAAACAAAAATGCCAGCTGAGACATGAACACAGTGATAGTCACATTATGTATCACAGTGTGAATCAAAACACCATGGAAACAGGAATGTCAGTTTGGAGCTATAAAAAATATAGTCAAGACTGTACTCATTTTTTTGCCAATGTGCTATCTACTAGTCGACTTCTGAGGTCACAGATCACTTTTTCATACAGTACTTCTCATATTATAATAACAAGGTAAAATGATAATGCTGTAGTTATCAGAATACTTATTCTATTTAAAAGCTGTAACTCAGAAGTTCAGAGTTTACAACACTTGGCATTTTTCATAACTGTAATTAAGTCTTGATGGACCATAAGGGGCAAATGCACCACAAAAGTCAGAAAAATAAATTCCAACTATGTGTCTCTGAATTCAAATGTCCTGTTTTATCATACAAGTAATGTTACCTAGGAGACAAAAACAATCCTTATACCAGACTAATATGGCTTGCATCAACTCTGTAATGCTGAGCTGGTGTATAGCTGAGCCACAAAGACGGCAGCTGATCCCTCGTGTGACAAGCTCTGCCATCACCATGTCTGTTGACGGTCTGCTCTGAAGCTCTAGTTCCTAAAGCATTGCCACATTTTTTTACATGGAGAAGACAATACTTAACAAAAACCGAAAAGAAGTGAAAGTGGTCAGAAATATCAAAGATGAAAGAAAGGTTATACAAATGTTAATATTAGGATACTATGGTAATAGATCAGTACCCCATAAATCAAGCTAAACAGAACAGGGAGGAGATGGCATTGTGAGAGTCTCCAACCCCTTGCAGTGTTTAAACGTGTGAATTGGTAACACTCCCACAGTTTTTTTTTTTATATTCCACAGATGCACTGTGCACAGCTAAACTTTGTTCCATTTTCAATGTCAAATTGAATTATAATCGACTGAAGGGAAATATTCATGCAAAAACAAAAACTCCCACAATATATCATGAAAATGGATTTGTTGTTGTCTCCCAATTAAGAGCGGCTGCTGAACAATGATTAACTCTCAATTACCTGAGTTTGGAAAGGAAGAAAAAAGACATTTTCCATGACTCTGTGAGACAAGCAGAGTGATTTAATCTCTCTGTTTTTCGTGCAGGTGAATAAATCAATAGAAACTTTAATGGTGACATCAAGGTCCCTTCAATTCTCATTAAGAATCTTACAGAGACCTTCGTTAACCAACAGCATCTGAAACTAAGGAGCCCAGACTTTTGCATTGTGAATGGCCTTTCAACGTTTTACTTCGTTTTTGATACTGCAGCCTTCAGGTTCTGGATTTATTTCAATGGGGCTTAAAACAAAAACTCAGAAGGAGGTAAAACCCTCATCTCATCCATGTCAGCTTACCTACTGTACAAATACAAATATAATATTACCTACAAATATAACTATAAAGAAGGCTCCACAGCCAAAACGTTATGGTTCCTTTCTTCTCTTTTCAGCATGGAATAAACCTTTTACTTGTTTCATAAATGTCACATCCAAATATCACTCTTCTCTTGGGGTTTAGACAGCCCCATCGTTACAAATCAGGTCCAATAATGCCCCTTCTCTGCCTTAATTAAGTTTATTAGAGACATTTGGGAAGGTTAGATCCTAACTTCGAATGCCTCATTTTTTTAAGACTCGTTCCCTTCACGTAACTCTCTCGCACACCCCTGCCTACCCATCTGCCCCCTTGCAGCAAACTCCCCAGCTCAGACTTAGTCCATAGTGAGGGGGGGCTGGTTGGGCAGCCTTTCCACATGGCTCAGCTGCCATTCCCTCAGCGAGGTGAGTCATGCCAAACACTTTCATCCCTCCGTCGCACTTAGTAGGATCTAACTGAACCACTGAAATTAAAGTCTGACCAAACTACCGAACTAAATTTAAGTGTGGTGTTGAATTAATGCAGAAAACCTCTCACCTCAGTTAGGAGTACTATCCTGTGTGTTTTATTTTGCTGGGAGTAAAGTTTATTTAAAAAATAATCAACAACTTACTTAGCCAATGAATCAATTGATTATGCATGCTGTAAGCCACACCAGTGGATTTCACTTGCTTTGGCAACTGAAGTTACTGTAAGGGATACAGCATTTGAGGTTTTAAAAATAATCATTTATTTTTGGACACTGCTTTTTTATATATAGTACATAACATCTCCAAAATACGAGTTTAAAAGCTGTTGCTAGGCTCTACATTCTTGACATGCTTACAATGTTTTTTGTTTTATTTTTGAATTACTTTCTTCTCAGACTTTGAATCAGGATATTCAGTCACACAATGCTTCACTGAAGATTAAACACACGTTGAAAGAAATAGACGTTTCTTCATTACTGTTAAACTGAAAACAGGACGTCTGACAGAATTTTTAACAGGAGAGTTAATAAAACTAATGCAGTAAAATTATTTTATTAAAACACGACAAGGACTTCTGGCTTTATTCTCAACCGCTAGAAGGGAAAATGCCAGATGACAGCCACCTCCCACAGTTTTACCAGCTTCTTCGGTGCAGCACTCACAAACGGGAAGCAGACAGAACGGATAAGTGTGTTGTTTACCTCCCATAATTTCTGATGAGACAAGCAAACAAATGTTCCAATAAATACAGTGAATGATTGCGTGAAACACATGCTGTCAGTGCTTTAGTTGCTACTTCAGTAACCCTAAGTTAACTCGGAGCAGAGGCATGATTTTGAATCTGTAAGTTTTACTGGTCGAACTCGCCTGGGGAAGGAGAAGGAGACAAAGCCAAGGCGCATACTGCCCCACTACCTGAGCCGCGACCAGGATGCTCGAGAGGGGAAGCGCCGAGGCGCGGGCTCTGGGGGTGCTGGGGGTAGAGGAAGTAGACGAGCAGACATGGAAGGAGCTACACAGTCGAGCCCAAGCTGAGAGGGCAGCAAGCTGCAGGGGACAGAGGGGCTCCTGAGGGACCAAGTGGGGAAAGCAAAGGAAAGGCAAGACATGGAGGACAGTGCTGGGGCCTTAGGCGGGGAGAAATGAGGCCGATGATGGAAAGGGGAAACGTTAAGAAGACAGGGGAAGCGAAAAGGAGGGTGAGAGAGAGTGAAACAGTGAGAAGAATAATGGAGGGCTGCCCCAGAGACAACTATGGCTACGTCAATGGGATGTGCAACCGGCCCACAGAAGAAGCACAGGACATCGGGCTGATTTGGCTGCTGGAAGAGCTGTGAGTGGACTGCTGTTGCTCGATACGGATAGCTGGGGATCAGACCGACAGCCGGGAAAGGCTGTGTGCGAGAAACTGAGCAGTAGCGAATGGAGTCGGTGATCCGTGGAGCGTTAATGTCCAGGAGAAACTGGGATTCTGAATTGAGCTGGAGGTCCCTAGCTTGCCGAGTCGGCGGGAACACTGTTTGGGGTTTGGTTTTCTTCGAGAAGGAGGGAGAAGGGAGCCACGGAGAGCTGTAAAATAAGGACAATACAGTATACAGGCCGAATGGCCTCCTCACGTTCATAACTGTCCTTGTGTTCTAATAACAATGTACAAGTACAGTCCTTTACTGATTTATTCCTTTACGGTGATTATCTTGCTGCCCCAGTTGTGACAATCCTGCTAGATGTGTAGGTTTTAGAATTTCTGTACAGACAGTTGTCTCGTGGTACAGAGAGGAGAGGACATGCACGCTGATACAGTTTTGACAAATTATGTCCTCTCCTCTCTGTACCACGAGACAAAAGTTCTGCACCAACAGCTCCCTCTCTGCAGGCTGTTTGGAATACTGTGAATACTGGGCTCTATATCAAAACTGTTTCAACTCTCAAGACTACAGAACCTCCGCATAAGCTGCCACATTAATACAAAGCATTAAATCATAAACAGGACCTGTAGAATAAACAGAATATACTCAGAGCTTTCTTAAATCTCTTTACATTGCACACATTTTAGAACAAATGTCAGCAAAACAGTAACACAACTTCGTGTTCATTAACGGAGTATAGAAACCATACAGTAGTTCAATCTTAATCAGGCATTCCCAGCTGATGTATTTAGACTTGAGAACCAATCAAGAACAAATTTATGGGTGCTCTCTAAAACATGTTTTGTAGTAGAGCCCGTAAAATAAAAACAAAGAAATGCTAACTAAGTATGACTGCGCATACACCTTGTGTAAAACAGATTTTATTTACCATCTGAAACTGGAAAGTGCAAAGAGAATGAGTATTTTATAGTGTCAGGCTCCATTTAACCTATCAGACCTTAAAGACTGAGAGCACTTACAAAGTAATGATAGTATCAAGAACACCTGGAACACAAGCCTATCTCTGTTTCCATCTGCCATTCGGCACATAACAGCACAGAAAGACAAGCAAGAATGTATTTATAGAAGGCTTTCAATTATCCATGTTCACAAGGCAGCTAACATTAGGTTATAAATTACAGAACAGCACAGGCTGATACTTTGGCTACTCTCTATACAAGTACTTTATATCAACTAAAAGTGTTAGG